AGCAAGAGCAAGACCCCCATTCTACTAAAAAACAAAAATAGAAAAATTAGTAGGGCACTGTGGCAGGCATCTGTAGTTCTAACTACTTGGGAGGCTGAGACAGAAGGATGGCTTGAACCCAAAAGTTTAAGGTTGCTGTGAGCTAGGCTGGCTCCACGACACTCTAGCCTGGGGCAACAGAGTGAGACTATATCTCAAAAAATAATAAAAGATAAATTTAAAAAGGCTGGGAGATGATGGAAACCTGGAGGACATGGCTGCTGGCACTGTCCATGATAGGCAGCTAAGGTCCAATGGGCAGCTACAGAGGCTGGACAAGAGCCTGGGGGCAATGAGCCCAGACAGGGACCTTGGAAATAATCTCCATCAACCATAGCAGGGAAGGGACCAGAAAGGGGCAGATCAGGAACAGGGAGGCCACTCAGGAGGCAGCCACATGGCCCTATGAGCAATAACGAAGGGCGACTCCTGACATATCCTCCAGGGAGGCCATGAGACAAAGGTGGCTGAGAGAGCACATCTCTTCAGAGGATCAGTAGTGACTGAGTGTTGTCTTGAGAGGAATTCGGGCAGCATCAGGATCCCTCGAGGAAGAGCCCCTGTGGCCTAATGATGTCTGAGGTGGGCTGTGAAGGGCGTGGCAGCGTCCATTCCTTCATCCACACACACTCGATCGATGTTCATTCAGCGCCTGGATGCCTGGCATGCATGCTGTGAAGGAGCTCAGTTCTCTACAGAAAGCAAAGAGGCTCTGCGCCTGACCTTTCTCCCTTCAAGCCTCTCCACAACCTTGTAAAAGGTCATCTTGCCTAGGTTCCCTTTCCGAAGGGTCTTGAGCGAAAGAATGCTTGGTGGTTAGTTATTTGTGGAAGGAAGAAAACAAAACTCAGCGTATTTTCATATTTTCCATTTTTATTCATTCGTTCAACAAAGAAAACCATATACTTTGCAAGGCCCTTTTGAGGATTTAAAGCTACATTAGACCAAATCTTCACCCTCCAGGAATTCATAGTGTCATCCAGAGATCAGACAAATGTGATCACATACCTGTAAAACAAAGTCATTATCAATCTAAGTTCTGCAGGGTGCCTGGCTTCAGGGAAGCAGACAGCTTGTCAGAGGTCCAGGCACCAGAAGGAAGACTCATGGAAGGTGAAAATCCATGGGGCAAAGAATGAAGCCTGCCCCTCCCTTGTGCTTTGAAGTCCTCCTGGACCTGGGGAACAGAAAGCCACTGAAAAGTTGCTTGGCAACACGAGGGCAGAGTGAGAAGGACAGATTCGTACTAGAAATCCACTCAAAGGGAATCCTTGGACATACCTGAGTCTTGCTGTTTGTCACCTGGGCTTCTAGCAATGACCAATTCATGGCCCAGAAAGCTGAATAGGAGGGAGGTAAGTGGAGTCCCTGCTTGTCGCCAGCTTCCCATTGCTGACCACAGCACAGTGCCTATCATTCTCCTTAGCTGTACCTGTGCCTTTGCCCTGGGTTGTGGGCAAGTCCTTGAGCAAACAGAAGCTCTGTACCTGCAGCTCTCAGCAGTCCCTGCACTTGGCTATGCCACCCAGCACCTGGCCCTGGGACCTGCCCACTTGTGCCTCCACTGGCTGAGAAAGGGGAGACCAGTGAGGGTAGAGTAATCAGGGGAAAACAGAACAGCACAGGACCTTAAAAGATGTGGCTGTGGGGACAGGAAAACATAGTTTGGGGATATAGATACCTGCTTAAGACTCTTCTTTTCAGAACTATCTCCTCTGGGACAGTCTAAGGACAGACCTAGCAGGCAAAACACAGCCTCTGGAGGGTCTTGCAAACCTTGGCCTATGAGGTAAGATCTCCAACTCCCAGAGCCATTCTTTATGGTTTTGCCCTGAAGAGAGCAGACACGTGTGTGCACACATGGGTCTCCAGATGGACACACCCATGTGGGTCCCATGGGTCCCTGGAGGATTCCCTTGTCCCTTTGTAGCCTATGCCTGATAACCCAGAACAAACAGAAAAGCAAGGAGGCTGTGCCACAAATTTATCTGCAGTGGCTCTGATTACAACCCCCCAGTGGAAAATGCTCTCCCAAGACCCCATGAGGGCAGTTCTTCATAATTTATATTTTGCTGAGAGTCTTCTTGCAAGGCAGCTTGCATAAAACTATTTGGAATCTTGCCAATGAGCTGGGTGCAGTGGCTCCCGCCTGTAATCCCAGCACTTTGGGAGGCTGAGTCAGGAGGATTACTTGAGGCCAGGAGTTCAAGGGCAGCCTGAGCAACATAATGAGACCTCGTCTCTACAAAAATTTAAAAAATTAACTGAGCATGGTGGTGTGAAACTGTAGTCCCAGTTACTCAGGAGGCTGAGGCGGGAGGATCACTAGAGCCCAGGAGTTGGAGGTTATAGTGAACTTTGATTGCACCCTTGCATTCCAGCCTGGGCAACAGAGTGAGACACTGTCTCAAAAAACAAACCAACAAACAAAAAGGAGGCTTGCCAGTGGAATTTGACTCTATCTGAAAAAGATCTCCATTTACTGGGAATGCACACACTATGTGTCTGGGTGCACAAGTGCACATGAGAGGGAGTACAAATATGCATGCTCGTGTGTGCGTGAGAACACTAGTTGCTATACTGAGGGGGATGCCGGAAAGGAAAGGCAAGCATGAACTTACTTATTCATATACATACAATTTGTGCACACACACACACATTACACATTTCTGGCACATCCAGTAACCCATATCAGTAGCTCTAAACCACTTTCCCGTCAGAGACCTAAGCCCATTTAGATCAGTGGCTCTCAACCTTGCCTGCCCATACAAATTACTTAGAGAGCTTGTAAAAATCCCAGTGATCAAGCCATACCCTAGATCAATACATCAGAATTTCTAGAGATGGGACTTTGGCATTAATACCCACATCAATACTTAATAATCTCCTCAGGTGATTTAGTGTCCTGCCAGAGATGAGTACTCCTCTGCATAGAAAACCTTTCTCCTCCTCCCCTGCTCAGAAAACTTCTATTCAGGTTGGGCGCAGTGGCTCACACCTGTAATCCTAGCTCTCTGGGAGGCTGAGGGGTGAACTGCTTGAGCTCAGAAGTTCGAGACCAGCCTAAGCCAATGTAAGATCCTGTCTCTATGAAAAATAGAAAAATTAGCCTGGTGTTGTGATGGGCACCTGCAAGTCTAGCTACTCAGGAGGCTGAGACAGGAGGATCACTTGAGCCCAGGAGTTTGAGGTCTAGGCTGATGCCATGGCACTCTACCTGAGTAATAGAGTGACACTCTGCCTCAGAAAAAAAGAATGAAAGAAAACGTTTTATTTGTTTGTTTGTGACAGAGTATGTTGCCTTCAGTACACTGCCATGGCATCACAGCTCACAGCAACCTCAAACTCTTGGGCTTAAGTGATTTTCTTGCCTCAGCCTCCCAAGTAGCTGGGACTACAGGCACCCGCCACAACACCTGGCTATGTTTGGTTGCAGTTGTCAGTATTACTTAGCTGGCCTGGGCTGGGTTCGAATCCACCATCCTCTGTATGTATGGCTGGCGACGCAACCACTGTACTATGGGCGATGAGCCAAAAACTTCTATTCAAACTTCAAGACCCAACTCCCACGGCCCCTTTCCAGGAAAGCCCTTCCTTAATCCCCTCACCCCCAAGGCAGAAATAGTTCTTTCCTTCCTGAAGCTCCCAGCAACACCTTAGTCATCCAGTTGTATCACAATTATTTGCTTGTCTGCCTGTATGTTCCACCCCCTGTGTAGAACCAGGAGCTCTGATGACATGCACTCTGTGGGACCATCTCTCCATTCCCAGGGCTTTGTTTAATGTCTGACATGTAACTGGTGATCAATAGATGTTTCAAAATGAAAAGGATGTAACGAATACTATGAGCAGGAGATGGATGGGAAGGGGAGGCTATGGTTATTTCTAAGTGTCAGGGCCGTGGGTCTGGTCCCCAGCAGAGGATGGTGGTACCCCACCCTTTAGCAACAGAAGGGGCCCTCTTATGCCAACAGCTTGATGCTAGTTGGTTCACATTTCCTGCTTCCCTAGGAAATGCCACCAGGGTTACTCAGAGGTTCAGAGGGACAACCTAGTGGTGCTGTTATCCATGTCTGCGGTCTCGGGGGGGCTGACCCTTCCTGTCTCCTCTTGGCCCCATTCCAAGCCTGCTCTGTCCAGCCTGCTTCTAGGGCACCTTTGCTCTGAGGAACACTCAAAGCAATCTCAGTCCCCTGCTTCTAGGCCAGCACGGAGATCAAGAGACAGCCCATATGTGTTGGTCTTTGGTAAAGGACCAAGACTTAGAAACACTAGTGCAAAAGGAGATGGCTCCCTGCAGCTGGCCAGCCCCAGCCCCCACCCGGGAATCTAAGAGGTAGAGAAAGAGCAAGTGACACCAGGTGAAACCAAAGAAAAGACTGTGCGAGCTGCATGGTTGAAGCCTCTGGACCCCATCCTCCCCCCACTCCTTGGGCAGCCCTGACCCTTGGCCTTGACAGTGCTCTCCCATTTCTTACCTTACAACCCCTCCCCATCCCCAGTGGCTTTTCACGGTCCTTATCTTAGATAGGCATACTGAGGTGCGGTGACAAGATAAGGCCACACAAGGACATTGGACTGGGACCATTGAGGGGCTGGAAATTGTTTGAGAGTGCAGGATTTGAAGTGAGGCCATCCTGTCACTTGCTAGCCTTGTCTGTTTGAGGCCTCAATTTCCTCATCTGCATAATGGGATTAATAATAGAGGTCCCTTCTCATGAATTCATGGTCCATATTAAGTGAGGTGTGAAGCAGAGAGACCTGGTCCTCAGTCCAGGCTGAGGCCCTCTGGGCACCCCCTCCACTTCCTTCCACACATACATACACACTCTCACACGCACACTGCCTACTCCTGAAGGGCTCTCAACCTCCATCCAGGTAGAGGCCAACCACCTCCCTCACACCTCCCCAGCTCATCACCAGTTTAAGTCCTGGTCACCCACAGAGTCCACTCAACACAGACAAGTATTTTCTTTATATGTTGGGGCTTTTACTTCAATTTGAAGCAGATGATTGAGCACAGATGTGAACAGCTTTGGCCTTCTGAGCACAGGAAGGAGCAGGCCTTGGCTTTGTACATCCCCCTTCCCACATACTGACCCATGCCCTGTCCCCTCCTCCTTTGGCCCCTCCTGTATAACCTGTGGCAGATATTGGCTGCCAAATGGGGTGCCATCTTGTTTGCCCAGCCACGAGTGTGGGCCCTGGCAAGAAGTGGCAGCTGGGGGAGCAAGGACCCTTGGGCAGTGCCCTGGGACAAGTCCGCAGGTGGGGATGGGGTCATATTGCTTTATTCTGCCCTTACTCCCTTCTCGTAAGGCTCAGAGGGGAACAATGGGAATAAAGGCCCAGTGCCCAGGCAGCCTGTGGGTGGGAGAGAGGGGCAGGGACCTCAGGCCCTACTCCCACCCCTCCCAAGGACCCCCAGGCTCTCTGTGCCAGCCTCCAGGCTTATCTCGCACCTAGATGGTGCATGACCCAGTGCAGAGTGCACCAGGTCTGGGTCATGGGCTTCCAGAGGTCACTTGGCCATCCTTTCCATAGTTCCTTGTGGAATTGCTGACTTGTCCTTGGCTTGACATGGGACTTGGGCCATAGGAGAGGCAGAATTCAGAATAATGGTGTGGCTTTTCACTTTGGGGTTTTATCACCCCATGTTCTTCAGAGTCTCTGTTGAATCTTTGGCAATGGATTTCTGCAGCTGGACGGTGGGCCATCGGCCCTGAGCAAGGGGGAGACTGAGCTCTCCCCTCTTCCCCAGGCGGAGGGCAAAGTGCGCAGTAACCTCAGAGTGGTGTGGCAGGGTGAGAGCGGAGGGCCAGAGGGAGGCAGGCATGCTCTTGTCTGACCTTGAGAGGCAGTGGGCTGAGCATCTCGGAGGCATCTTGGAAAAGATGACCAGGCTGGACTTGGCGAGCTCACCTTCTCCTCTGGCCTGACTGGAAAGAGGGCCCATAGCAGTTTCCTCAGTCTAGCCCATGGCCAGTCACTCCTGAAAGAAATGACCAGCCATTAGAAGCAGCCCCTATCCATCTTGATTCCTGATTCTAGAAGGCCAACCAGTACCAGGTGCTGGCACCCACAGCACAGACTCTCACTTAATCCTTGCAGCTGCCCCAGAGGGGCTCATATGGCCTAGAGAAGGGGATTACTTTACCTTCATGGGTTCGGTAAGTGGCAAGGCCAGGATTCAAACCCAGGACTGGCTGTCTGCAGAGCCCATACTGTCCGCTTCTCCCTGCATCTCCATTTTAAAGCCCCTGATGTTTTTGATGGTTTGAGGAAATGAGTAGGCCTCCAGAAGCTCAGGGACACCTGGTACTTACAGCATTACCCCAGGGCTGCACCTCTAAGGGATCTCAGAATCAGGCCTGTCCCCACCGCAGGGGTGCAGGGCTCTTCTGCAGGCTGGTGGGCCCCCACTGGAATGGCTGTCTGTGGCTCCTTGGCCCCTACACTGTTCCCACAAGAGCACTATACAAGGAGACACAAGTTGCACCGCATTCACCTGCAGGCTGGGTAACCTAAGACTAGTCACTTAACTTCTCTGGGCCTCAGTTTCCTCATCTGTAAAATGGTACAGCCGGAGCAGATCAATTTCAAGCTTTCTTTTGAACAGTACAATAAAGTCTATGGAACCCTAACAGAAAACAGATAAACATGGGTCTATTTGGGGCAGTGGGGTGAGAAGACACAGAGAGGGAGACCCAGAGTCCTGATAGATTCCCTTCAACAAAGAGCCTGACATCTCTGAGAGTACATAGTGCTAAGGAGCACAGTGTGAAAACTGCTAGGTGAGACCTTCTTTAAGTTTCCTGTTGCCCTGACCTGTGGCATCTTTACTCTGGCAGCAGAACTCAATATTGCTCTTGATAAAACTGCCCACAACTGAGGATGTGACTTGTCACCAGGAAGGGACAGGAGATGGGAGCTGCTTTAGCCTTCTGGGTAGTCAGAGCCAGTGGGGAGGCTCTGTGAGGGCTCCAAGACCATGCAGAAGATGAAAAGGAGGTCCAACAGTCCCTTGACCTGGTGCAGCATTCACCCAACAAAGCTGCTCCAACTGCTTCTCTTTTTGTATGCGCCAACCCTGAGCCAGCAGCTAATAGTTATTTTTAAAGCAAAGCATCTGCCAGGTATCTCCAACATGCTAGGGAGCGCTCTTACACCCCCATCTCAAGGGTGAGCCATTCTGGGCACAGAGAAGGCCATGCTAGTGGCAGCCAGCACCAGGATTTGAATCCAGATCAGCAGTGTTCATTCTACCACACAGAGGCTGTTCTTACTGAGACAGAGGCTTGGAGAACAGGGCTGGAGCCAAACCACAATGTTGGAGGGCTGCTAACCACAGGCCCTGGTGAGCCTTGCAGGCTGGGGTGACCAGCCAAGATGCAAGGCTGGGGCAAGGCTGCAAGTGGGGTCCGAGAAGGGCGAGGGAGCTGGGCCAGGGAGAGGGAGTGCTGCTCTCCAGCTAATAGTGGCTGAGAAGGGAGAAAAGGAAAAGTGAAGGCGGGAACACCTTGATGTGGTGAACCCCAGCTCACATTCGCCAAGCCCACTGTGCATGGCTGGCCCCAGCAGGAATCTGCTTTGTGTTACTGAGTCTGAGGAGGAGGATTAAGAAGCGGAAAGGAAACCCGTGGGGATGGCACTGGGTCTGTGGTCCATGGGGTGATTTACAGCCCACGTCATCCTGGCGCTGGCCGCCTGGGCGGGCCCTGCCACGGACTGGGCCCCCAAGTGCCTTTCTTGTTCAGTCTGCCTGCCTGTGGTCAGGCGAAGGAGTGGAAGTCTAGGCAGCTGGAGCCGTGCTACTGGTCGTACCACAGAGACCACTGGGGCATCCTGGGCCCAGCCCCAAGCCCTCTGCCGGCCCTTAGACCCTGCTAAAGCCACGGCTACCACCCAAGATTAAGGGAGATAGGGGTTTCTCTCAATGAGGCCTGACCTCCAAGTCTCTGTCCCACCCTTGTGCTGTCCCCAGGAATCCCAGCATATGTATCACCCATGCAAGTAAGTCTTAACGTCAAATGCAATGTGATGGGGAGAACACCAGGGAACTTGTGTGCTAGGACCCTCTCTGCAATTAAGCAGCTGTGTGCCCTTAAGTAACTCATTCTCCCTCTCTCTGCTTCAATTCCCTCACTTGTACAGTGGGGGGTTAGCTTTCACACCAGCCAGGTGAGGTATTCCATGAGTTCAGGAAACACCACAGACCTTGCTTTCATCTTGGAAAATTACTATGTATAGCATATTCAAGGCTCTGAAAAGTCCTGAAGTGAACAAATCCAGGAGGCTTTATTTACCCAGTTTTCCCGACTGATTGGACCACTTAATTGCGACTGCATTGTGAGGAACAGAAATTCACTTCAATCCTCCAGTAAAAGGAAGCTTATTTCAGGCTACAAAAGGGCACTTCACAGCAGCCAGGAGGAAGGTCTCAGGAAAGGAAGAAAAGAGCTGAGCAAGGCTGGTGGCACCACCCTCTAGGCGCCACCAGTCACAGCACTGGTCCACAGGCAAGTAGCTGCTTCCTCCCTGCCTGATTGGCCCAGCTCTCAGCATGCCAATCCCAAGGCCCAGTGGAGGAAGCCCACTGGTCCAGACCAGATCAGATTTCTTCCCCTAGTCCAGTCAGCTGTGGCAGAGGGATGGGAGACCCATGTGCCAATGACACCCCTTAATAGGGGACTATGTTGAGGGAATGGGGAGAAGATAACCACACCACAGAACCCGTCTCACCTAACGCCTAGCAACATCCTGTCTCCATCTTGTGTGAGGAGCACAGTGCATGGGGGTTGCACCCCTCCAGCTCTGGCCTTTGGTGTGTCTGCTGCAGGCCGAGGCTCTGGACATGGCTTCCTCCCTGGCTCACTGTTCTCAGAGCCGACTTTGCCACGGAAGATGTCCTTCAAACAGGTTCTGCTACTAAAGTAAACTTTGAGAATGCCTAGATCAGATGGCCTTATGGGCCTTTTGGCTAGTCCCAGACGCTGAGTCAAAATGAGGTGATTTGGTCAGTGTGGCAAAGTGGTTGAGTCGGTCACAATCAGAAATCACCTTTTTCATCTGTTCACGTGCCCCACAGTAGCATCTCAATAAACACTCGTTGAACCAGTGGATAACCAGTCCCAGTCATAGACCACTTTATTTACTACAGCTTTTATAGAGCAAGGAATGCTTTTCCTATTTCAAATGTAACATTCCTGTAAATGTGTTCTGTCTATTCTTTAGGGGAATTTTTTTGGTAGTTGTTATGAAACTCTGAAACAATTTTGCATCTTTTTTCCTTTTGTTCGTTTCTAGTTTTTTTTTTTTATTATTTCTAACGATATCTCCTCTGCATACTAAGCTTGTCTCTGGCTTTATGTACATTGTTTTCCTCTTGTGATCACTTCTGTATACCACAGGTAATTTGATCACTTTGAGGAAATTAAAAAGATGATTTTATCTGCTTTCTAAGTTATTTGACCTTTTAAATTGATTGTCCATCTATGAAGCTCACTTTACTTACTTAACCACGTTTCATTATTTCCAAATTATACATCTTCATGTATCTAGTCACTTAAATACTGCCTTGTACATGCATGTAGAAAAAAAGAACATTCAATGGGATTGAGATCCTAACAGCTTTTTTTTTAATTGGCCTGTCCTAAAAAGAGTGGTCAGATTTCAAATGCTATTTTAAAACTAAAATATGAAACAAAAGCAGAGAGGGCATGGGAGAAATACTTTTCAAAAACCACATTTTTAAGTATTATTTTGCCTTGCATTTTTAAGTACACCAATATGTGAGCTAGAAAGGGGGGTTACACGTTTGGCTCTGAATGCTGCTCTTGACTCACACTGAGTTCATCTTGGCCCTAAAGCCAGTTGTGGGCTGGTTAATCTCTCCACGCCTCAGTTTCCTCATCTTTAAAAGTCACAATATCTACCCTCTGGGTTAGTTGCAAAGACTCAATGAGATGATCGAGCCACAACCTCAACAGGGCCTGGCGCATGGCAGAAGCACTTGAAGACACTGGCTTAAGTTCTTGGAAAGGGGAGCCGGGTCCTTGGTTTCACTAACTGCTGTTGGATATGTCAGGTGGCATCACAGGCTGGAAAGCCTGAAAACAACCAGAAATAGTCACTTGGAACCAACTGTTATCTTGACCAATTCACTTTCAACCAATTATTTTTAAAAAATAAATACAATTTTTAAAATTACATAGATAGTGTCTGTCCACTGACAGATGGATAAATAAAATGTGGAATATCCATACAATGGAATGGTATTTGACCATAAGGAGGAAGGAAACGCTGATAGACAGGACACCATGGAACAGCCTTGTAAGTGTCAGGCTAACTGAAAGGAGCCAGTGACAATAAACCACATATTCCACGATACCATTCACATGAAATGTCCAGGACAGGGAAGTCTGTAGAAACAGAAAGATTAGTAGTTGCATAGGGCCAGGGATAAGAAGTCAGCTAAAGCTATGGGTTTCTTTTTGGGATGATGAAAATAAATGTTCTAAAATTGACTGTGGCAATGGTTGCACTTATCTGTGAATATATGATACACAATAAAAACCATGGAATTACATACTCTTGATGGGTGAGCTACATTTTAATAAAACTGTTAAAATTTTGTTTACATAGTATGTTAATTATGAAAAATTAGAAAACACAGAAGGGTGAACAGAGGAAAACAATTTCTTTTTTTTTTTTTTTTTT